GTTGCTGCTCAGAGATGGAGCTCCAGAATCTGTGGCCACAACTTGGAGCTGGAAACTTTTTAGACGTTCAAAGTCAAAACTCTTCAGTGTCGAAACAGTGCCGTTGGCTTCGTTTATAATTAAAATGGAAGTGATGGAGTTGCTCGGATCTTTACGCCCAAGTGAATAAGAGATGAGCGCATTTTCACCTTTATCTGCATCAGTCGCGCTCACTGAAAATAATGACGTTCCTGCTTTCTTATTTTCATATATATAAAAATTGTATGGACTTTCAGTGAATAACGGATTATTATCATTTACATCAAGCACTTCTACCTGAATCACCTTCGTAGAAGACTGAACAGGACTGCCTAAATCTTTTGCTGTTATTGTGATATAATAAATTGGCGTCATTTCCTTATCTAAATAGTCCTTCGTGACCAAAGAATATGACTGTCCGTCAGGTGATGGTTTTAGATCAAAAGGTAAATTCCCTGGCACGTTGCAGACCACCTGTCCATTCACGCCAGAGTCCAGGTCCGTCACGCCCATCAGCGCCACCACGGTTCCAGGTGTCGCATCTTCTGGGATCTGACTTGAAAAAGATGTGATGTCAATTTCAGGTCGGTTATCATTCACGTCTTCCACTCTGACCATCACATTGCACTGCGTGGAGAAAGGCACTGAACCTTTGTCTGCAGCCAGTACTTTAATCTCATAGACCTGCTTCTCCTCATAATCCAGGGGTGCTTTCACTGTCAGTTTCCCAGTTCTGCTGTCCAAATCAAACGGTTCTGATGAGAAGCCGCGACTTTTGCTCCTTAATGAATATTCAATTTCCCCGTTCACTCCCTCATCTGGATCAGATGCATTTACTGTCAACAGAAATGTCCCAACAGGAGCATTCTCTTTTATTGTGATGGTATATTTTTGTTTAGCGCACACTGGGGAGTTGTCATTAACGTCAGAAACAATAACTGTGACATTTATCGCGCCTGATTTAGAAGGTTTTCCTCCGTCTGCAGCTGTTAATAGAAGCCAGTGCTGAGCAGTCTCCTCTCTATCTAATGGTCTCTGCAGAACTAGAAAGGGAACTTTACCTTCCTCGCCAAAATCTTCGGTTTCCAGTCGAAAATACTGGTTATGGTTCAGCTTATATGAATGAATGGAATTCAAACCCACATCCGGATCATGCGCTCCTTCAACCTGAAAACGAGAACCAACAATGGCGGACTCCAGCACCTCCATGGTGTGGTTCTCTTCAGGAAACCGTGGCGAGTTATCATTTACATCCAATATTTCCACTATTACCTGGTGCATTTCCAGAGGATTTTCTACAACGGCTTTCAGGTTTGTGACGCATGGAACCGTTTTTGCGCACAGTTCCTCTCTGTCGATTCTCTGGTTCACGATCAGAACTCCATCTTTCGGATTTACCTTGAATAGGTCTTGCTTTGTCCCCGAAATGACACGCAGATTTCTATCCGTCAGCCTTCCGACATCCAGCCCGAGGTCTTTAGCTACGTTTCCAACTGTTATTCCTGATTTTGTTTCCTCCTGGACAGAATATCGAATCTGAGCAGAAATCACTTCAAATTTTGTTACAATCAGCAGCGCCAGACAAAAAGAGCCCCACACATCCCTCCATTGTCTTTTGGTGGCTGTCACATCCATTGTTTGGCGGCAAAAAATGCTTTTAACTGGTTTACTTGAGTCATTCAATAAAAAAATATTTGTTGGATTTGCAGCGTCCTTCTATTTAAAATAAAAAAATAAATAAATAAAGGTCTCTGTGAACCGTTATTTCGTTTAGTCCGTTCATCCAAGGTGACTCTACGGGTTGTCCCTGAATGCACATGCAGAAAATAAGATGCACCCTCGCGCGTCACTGTGTCCAAAAATGGTGCGCCGGCGCCACTTACTGTCACTACAAAGAGTCTGCAGACGATGTATGGACCAAAAACATATTTTAGCAGTGAGATTAAAAAGTGAATATTTTTAACAACACTCACGTATTTATTTATTGATATATTTATTTATTTATTTATCTATTTAGTTAGCTAGTTAGTTATTTTTTTAGTCTTTTATTATCTTTGTTTAAGTGATTGTTGTTATTTCAAATCATAATATTACAGATGCTTTATCATTTAATGGTTTTCAACAAACTAAATAAATAAATATACAAATTTGTGTGCATTATTTATTTGTGAGTGTGTTATTTCCAAAATTAATTATTTGTACTTGTTTTTTTATACTTGCTTTGTATTTTCCAGGCGAGCATGGCAATCACCCCCGGTGGGTCTTGATTTGACCGCTATTGCTTGACAAAGTTTTTGCTTGCAATTACCTGATGTAACCCTGGCTATTACAGCACTTTAAAATACAGGATCTTGGATGTATCGGGAATGTAAGAAAAATCCGAGGTTACATGAACGCGCCACCAGCAGCACCTGTTGTTCAGAGCCCTATAAAGAGAGAGTTGCGACACTCTTTGAACTCGCCGATACGCGGTCACGTGCTTCATGCAGCTCTCAATAGTTCCAAACAGTTCATCTCTGTCAGTCAGTTAGAGCGGCTGCTGGCGCAACATAACACAAAAATCGACTTTTCTTACTTTACCTGGCGTCTTTCAGTAATTATTGAGCAGTAACGAACTGATTACTGATTATTTCACAGAATATGCATTTTATCAAAGCATTTTTAGAAGCGGCTGATACATTTATCATTAAATTTTAGAAGGAAAGGAGACTGCAAACACATTTGTTAGATTTTTTTTTAATATATGCAAGACAATGATCAATATAGCCATGTCAGCGTTGTATAACGTTACACACGATAAAATAAAAAAAATATCAGAGTAACACCTGTTATAAAGCTATTTCTGATGTTCTCTGCATGAGAATGCTCCACCTTGTCCTCCATGCAATTCAGATCTGCTCCAGCTTACCTTAGATCATCTGGATGAATTCTTGATTTCTATAGAAGATATTAATTCAATCTTTATTTAAACAGGTTCGTCCCATTGAGCCACGAGGACTCATTTACAAGAGAGACCTGAATATAATTGTTGTATTTGTCGGTTTTTTTTATGGCAATCAAGTACCTGGATAACTGAGTTGATTGTTCTTGTAGTCTGACAACTATTGTAAAATTGTAATTAATCGATTAAAATGTTAATTTAAATGAAACGGTTTCTAGTTAAAATCATAACAGATGACAAAATAAGTGTTAAATGTGCAAAAATAAATGTCTAAACAATTTATTATAAAATATGTAAAACAAGCTTTAATAAAGTACTTTTACTGCCATTTATACTGTTTATTAATGACATCATCTCAAGTCAGCAGGAGCACCATCATTATCATCATCATCACAACAACACAAAACTGAGTGCTGTAAATGTAATCTGCACAAACATTTTCAATCAGGGCTCAAACAGTTTAACTGTCAACGAAATGTGCCAGAAAATAAACTATTGTCGCTCTACAGGCACATTTAGAGAGAGGACAATTCACAGAGACACAGTGAGGACGTGCGAGACTGAAGGAGGTTCAACCATTTGTTCATCGACCAGAACCAAATGAGAAGAACAGCAGAACTTCCACTGCATGTTGATCCATTGACCAGTGATCACACATGTTGTTCTAAATTAAACTTTGGTACAAACAGTGTTAAATAAGACATGTCATATTTATTTTTTATTGAACAATAATCTTCATTCTAACAGTGCCATTGCAGTTTCAGAGACTGAGGAAGGAAGAAACAGAAATGAGGAGAGTGAGATGAGGGAAAGATGAAAATGTGTCCTCAGAGGACAGGGACACGTCAGGATCTGATGATCCAGGATCAACAAGACCAGGAGGATGGATCAACAGGCAGTCAGGGAACAGAGATGAAAAATCTGAAGTAACAATTAGAACACAAAAAAAATACATAAGCAGGACAGAAGAACTTCAGACAAGAAAATTAACGCAGTCCTGCGAAGAAAAATGTTAACAATGGAAAATAAATTCTGACATATTTTTTACAACAGATCAAATGAAGACAAGTGGCATGAACAATAACTTCCAGCTCCATCTCAATGTACCTGTGATAGTTTAATAAGTTTTTTGTTACTGTTCTACAGTTTATTGATGCTGATATGTTCTTGGTAATAATTCTTATTTCTTGTTCTGTCTTAAAAGAGAGTCTCATCTCAACTTGACCCATGATTACCAAATGCTAAACTAATAATATAAAACAAAAGTAAATTAACAGTCCTGCTGTAAATACCAACTTTGTGAAGGTTATGGTGTTAAAGTAATTTTATTCAAACATGTTGATTAAGCTGTTATTGATTCGGGAAGACAGAAAATGAGATCTACCTTTGTGGTACTTTGAATGCAACATTCAGTTCATGAAGTCATTCTCCTCTAGTTTACCTGGAAAACATGAAAATAATGGACTCATCTCCACAATCACGTTTTTCTTTAATGATCATGTCACAATTTATGCTGCAGTCTTTGACAGATGATCTATAACTTGAACTAAATTACGTCAATCTTGTTGTCATGTTGTCATCATTCTTTGTTGAAATCAGGTCTCTCTTGTAAATGAGTCCTCGAGGTCTCGAGGCTCAATGGGAGTTACCTGTCTAAATAAAGGTTGAATGAATCTCTCAGAAAAAAAAGGCCAAATATTTTTTAGTCGAGTTCAGTAACTGGAATTACCATAAATAAATAAATACCACCTTTCAAAATTTAAGCAGTAATGGATCTTTTAAAACGCTGAATTAGAAATAGACTCGTTTAAACCGTCATGTTGCAGAGCAGCTGCAGTTAAAACACAACTAGTAATTTAACATGTTTCATTAACTCAAACTGGCGACATGAAGTATTAATGTTGATAAATTGTGGTACAGAACAGTCAGATAACGCTTCAAAATGGCAAAAAAGTGTCGTATTTTAATCAGCTTACCGGAGAAAACACGGAGAATGAAGTACGTTCAATGCTGAACCACTGCTGTTTGGCGGAAGTCACGTGCATGACCCACGTGACTTCTGCATTCCATTCTTTCTATGGGAGTCTATGGGAGAGTCGCAACTCTCTCTTCTTTATAGGGCTCTGCTGTTGTTAGAGCGGGAGACGAAGAGGAGAGAGAAACTCCATGCTACTACAAAGAGTGCTGTTTTCCAAGTTAACAGATGATTAGAGAGCTGCTGATGCAGTGAACTCTGAACAAGTAGGCTACCTACCTTGAAGGTGCTGCACGAGTGGAGTGCTTTCTGGGACTTTTAGAGCTATTCAGACTTGTTGTTTTTGTTTTTTTGTTTGTTTTGTTTTGTTTGTTTTGTTTGTTTTGTTTGTTTGTTTGTTTGTTTGTTTGTTTGTTTGTTTGTTTGTTTGTCTTTTGGAGGGACGACCCGATTGCTGCCATCTGGAAGAACTTCTTGGTGGTGGTCCAGAACTTCATCACTGCCTGTGGATGCTCGTTGCAGGTCAAGACGTAGACGGGTGGATGTCCACTATAATTGGAAGGAACCAAGGTGAAAAAAAAAAGAAACATACCTGAGAACCAACAAAGTTCATGCTCAATCATCCAGGTACCAAATCCAATAATTCTCAGTCGGGTCATATGGACAGTTTCTTTTTTATAGAGACGTTTCACCGTCTATCCGGAGGGCTTCATCAGTCAGAGGAGGTCCAGTAAATTGTTTGGTACCTGAGAACCATGGTTCTCAAAAGAAAATAAATAAATAAAAATTCAAAAATGAATACAATGAATAAATAAAATGAATAAATGCATTTATTAATTTTCTTTGATACTTTTCCTTGCTTTGGGTTTGCTTTGTTCTTGGGCCCAAGACAAACTGAAGACTGAACCAGATTGGCATTGCAAGATAAAATGATACTTGAACGAGGTTGATGGTCTAAAGGTTGACCATCAACCAACATTCAAAAGTGCACATTTGTTCCTGATGTTTCCTTTTTGAGATACTAAT